CTTTTCTTGACCTCACGTAAATATAGTTTTACTGAAACTTGTCAAAAATCTTTTTTTTTTTTGTTCCTGTTACTTGACATGTTGCTTTACTTTTGGTCTCTGCTGGAAGGTGTTTTTGCCTCTGCATTGACCTTCAACATTTTTCTATCCAGTGTTCATGTTTATAGTAACTCCTACACGGACGAGGTTCAGTTAAAGGCCATCAAGTACAAGATTAGCTCTATTATTGTAAGTGGAGCATCAAAAATGCTTTCTAAATCATAGAAATGGTTAACAACGAAAAAAGACGTGTCAGAGGTGTTGAAATATGGGTTTTTAGATAATGGGTTTGAGAAGCAGCTTGAAGCTGCACTGTTGGTCGAGTTCTTACATGGTTTGGCCATTTTCTGACACTTGTTTGGCATTTCTTTAAAGATTTGCTATCCCTCCCACAGACACAGAAAGATAGCGAGTGAGACAGAGAAATGATGGTGTGTGGCTAAAAAGCACACACACACTCCCTTCTAGCTCAGTCTGCCACAGTGCCCACTATCTCCACAGCCATTCTGTGTCACACTGTCTTGCCGTCTCCCTCTGCCATTCTTTTGTTCTGTGTTGAAGGAAGCGCAGGCCTGAAGCATCAAAGTCTGACTGACTTGAAAGCTCTGACCGTGTGCGTGCACCAGCGTGGTCACACCGTAGAAATAATAAGGGCTTTACACATAAACACACATGCACAAGCGACACGAGTGTGTAATTGAGACAGTTCAGCTGGCTTTGTAGGCAGCATCTGTTCTGAGCCCCGTCATCCTCCCTTTGTACYCCACCCTCTGTGACAGGTGGAGGGGATTCAGACTCACAAGCTGAGAAGACACACACACTAAAGTCAGTGACACATGGTTAGTTTTTTTTTTTGCACCTACACACACACACACACTCATAAACACACCTGCTGTGAGGGCCGTGCAGCAGTGGCCCTGTGGTGCCGGGCAGGCTGAGCGGCACGTTGCGTGTTTACACCACCTGCTCTGTGGCCAAACACACGATGAGGGATTAAAGCTGACAGCACAAAGATGAACAGCAACACATAGACAGATGTACATAAACCCCTTCGACTACCGAGTCTTTCTTCTACACACTAAATGAAACTCCAAACAGATCCATCTATCAGCCGCTCACACCTACAGGAGCAGAGCAGTATGTAACCCAGCATTCTGTTCTGTCAGACTCATAACGCAGACATGCTCGACTGAAGCAACCTTTTGACGGACTAATTTCTTTAGGCCATTTCAGGCTAGAGCTGATCCCACCTGCACTGCATGCAGCTTTTAGACCAGAAGTGACAAAACTTTTTTTTGTTTTCTGAGACACAAAATAAAACTTGCAGACTTGTGATTTTGACCACTGCTGGAGTAAACAAGCACCATTAATTAGATGTACATATGCTAAAGAAAACATGACTAAAACGTCTGGAAAGAATAGCTACATATTGGGGATTAAGCAGGGTGGGGGCGCACAATAAACACAGCTTGGTTATAGACGAACTCATGTTAAACCGCAAATTTAACATCTGACGTATTTTCAGTCACTTCAACTGTTTCTGTATGTAAACAAATGAACATGTTAATTTGCATATATATATACAGTGGGGAAAATAAGTATTTAGTCAGTCACCAATTGTGCAGGTTCTCCCACTTAAAAAGATGAGAGAGGCCTGTAATTGACAACATAGGTAGT